GACTGGGCTCTGGTTTCAGACAGAGGGTGAAAAGAGGTGCTGCAGCACAGACAGTATGAGAACAATAAAGAGCTTTTTGAACATTGAAGCATGGAGACATGTCCCAGTAGAGACACTACCTACTGATATACACCTGAACATCAGCAGGAGAGGACTCTTTAAAGTAGAGACACTACATACTGATATACACCTGAACATCAGCAGGAGAGGACTCTTTAAAGTAGAGACACTACACACTGATATACACCTGAACATCAGCAGGAGAGGACTCTTTAAAGTAGAGACACTACACACTGATACACACCAGGGGCCTCATTTATAAAGCTTTGCCTGGCATTCACGTGTGTCGGTGGCGTACGTAGGACAAAGCAAATAAATAAATAAATACGCACATATTTATTTATTTCTCCCAGTTATGTGTCTGTGTGCGCTGAGGAGTCTCAAACAGGCATTTGTTTAATCATTTTAAGATTGTCTTTAATTCTTCATATATGATAAATGAGAGGTAACATTCTATTCATGNGTGCTTAGGATTCAAAAGCTTGAATACTGTTACGCACACAAGCAAAGTCACACAAACACAAAATCCTCATCTAATCCACAAATCACGTTGGTTTTACAGCCAACGTGATTTGTGGATTAGATGAGGATTTTGTGTTTGTGTGACTTTGCTTGTGTGCGTAACAGTATTCAAGCTTTTGAATCCTAAGCACGGGGTGAATGTGATCCCACTCACACACTTCCTCCACCAGCGCCCTACCCACACTTGTACAAAATGAAGTAATCCTCCCTGTAGAAGTCCACATCACAAAAACAAACATTGTCCTCTTGACATGTAAAGTAGGAGCACATATAGCTTATTATCATCTCATGTCGCATAGCAAGCCTTCTCTCTTAAACAGCGACGGTACTTTACAAATGTTTTAAAGAATTTAGATATGCTTAAATTCCTTTACACTTTTTAAAAGAGGCCGTGTTACGCTCATTTTCAGGTTCATGTTTGTATTTAGTGCCTCTACTGTGACGTGTCTCCATGCTTTAATGTTCAAAAAGCTCTTTATTGTTCTCATACTGCCTGTGCTGCAGCACCTCTTTTCACCCTCTGTCTGAAACCAGAGCCCAGTCTGGCTCTGTTGTGATTGGTCCCTTAGAGGTTGTCCCGCCCTTCAGCCTATCACGTATAATGTTTTGGATACACTGGCTAATAAAAGCGCTAGTGTTACATAGTGATGTCACGATGTTCCGGAAAGTAACAAATGAGTCCTACTTTGGGATTGTAGCCTTTGCAGAACATTTGATTGGACAAAAACCAATGTACCACACAACAGAAAAGGAAAAAAAAACCAAAAGCATAAAAGAGCCTCTTTAAAATTACATAAATTCTGGCAAGTATTTCAAGTGATGTCAGAAAATGTTGTGTTTTTTCACGGTGTCTCGACCTCTGACACCCCTATGACACTCATGTTCTCTTGTTGAGTCAAGGTGCATCAACTAACTTCCGTTTTACATTTTAGAGCAAATTATCACACTCTCAAGACTGTTATCTATTAATAATTTGCAGAACAAAACTCCTGTGCAGTGTGATCTCACCGTGTCCTGACAGCTTTCCGGAGCAGAGTGAGTCACTGCAGGGTTTGAGGTCAGCATCTGCACACACACACAGTCCAGTTACATTCAGTCAAAAAGCATGTTACGGTTACATTAGTGCTCACGTTTCCTGGACACAAACCTATCAACACCTGTAGAATGTAATTTAATGCATGCATAACACTTTGTAAATTGCCTGTACATCACCCCAGGTAGCTTGTTGGGGTGAAAAAACAAGTTCAGCTCTAATCCAATCCGTCTTTTCATGACAGAAGGTAATCAAATGAAACAATACATACTGATGCTTGAATGCTTAACGTTGGTGGATTTGACTGTAATTCACTCACACATCAATTATTCTGTTTGAATTAATCAATTGACTTTTTGTTGCTGTAACCACTTTTAGTCAATCCATTGTTCTCTTTTAACAATTGTACAGACCCAACAATTCAGTAGTTTATCACTTTTTTAAATATAATTTAAATGTTGTACAAATCAATTCAGTTTTTGAACTCACGATGTGGTCATCCATTTGTGTTGCGTTGGCTGAAAAGACAGGGACGATTTTAGTTTCCTTAGTGAGCATTTTGGGGTTATCAGAACTTGTTGTGGATAAAATAATCTGTGAATGTAATCACCTTTAGATTTCCTCCATCCCACAACTGCAACAACTATTATCAAGAGTGCTGCCAAACCCACGGCAACAACGATGTACAACCACACACCTGAAATATAAACAAAACATATCACATAATAAGTGATTTTCTTACTTTTAACATTTTACTCAAAGGTTATTAGATACCGTCGTTACCTGACGTTTCATTTGCAGAATCCTTTTCATAAGTCTCAGTTGTTGCTATTTAGAAAAACAAACATAACCCAACACACACTTTTAGGTGATATTTCTTCCATCAGCAGTAAATAAATGCAAATAATTGTATTAAAAAAACTACAAATCAATTAAATAAACAATTGTATTTTTTCATCAGTACTATGTGATTTTAAACATATTATAGCACTTTTTCTCACTCTTGAAGGTAAACACACTTAGAAACACTTTTCTCGTGTAGCCATCAGTCACGTTACACTTCAACAAATCATGTTTTTTCGATGTGTAAATAAAATGTGAAGTCTTAAAGGTCGTGCTGGAAGAGCAGGAAGTAACTTAAACATCTCAACATGTTCTCACCTAAAGACTGAGGGCTGAAGAAAAACACCTGTACTCTTTCTGTGTTCTCATCAGTTACTTCACATTTAAACAACTTAGACCTTGTTGTGTAACTAAAATGAGAAGTCTGAAATGTCACAGAGGCAGAGCAGGGAGACTGTGATGTCTTTATCTCTCTGTTTTCTTTATCCACATCTTGACCCTGAAGCAGCCACTTCACTTTGAGTCTACATTCTCCATATGTCTTCACAGAGCAGAGTAACGTCACTTCATCATTCTCCTGACGTTGAGTCACTGAAGATGGAGATAAACAACAAGAGTCAAATTAACTTCATCACTGTAATAATAATAATTGTAATGTTTTAGAGTATTGTTCAATAGAGACAGTTTGAAAACCCTATGATGTAAATACTCACTGTTAACAACAGACAGATAAACACGAGAGTCTAAACCTTCTCTTTCTCCTGATCTGAACTGTCTGCAGGTGTAAAGACCAGCATCCTCCTCTGTGACCTTCTTTATAACCAGAGAACAATTCTCTGTAACTCTCAGTCTGTCTGATTTAGCTTTGGCTCCTTGGTGAATCAGCCCACCTTCAGCCAGCATTGCTGTTGATTCTCTTGTTAAATTACTAAAGAGCCATGTAGTTTCCTCACAGTTCCCCATTGCATTGTTACAAGGCAAAGTAACTTCAACTCCTTCTTTGACAATGAAGGAGAGGAAATGCTGTTCGGTTGCTACCCCTGAGAAGACAAAGACAGAGAAATAACTTAAAATAAATATGGAAAGTGGGCTGCAGTTAAAAAGGGCTTTTCTGTAGCGAGCACTTAAAGTATTTTACAACACATTCACACAAGACAAGTATACAAGGAGTTGCGATATCTTTCCCTTGATTCTCCGATATATGGATGATAGCTCCTGAGAAGCATTATCCCAATAAAAGTAAAATAGGTGATCGTGCTTACAAGAGTTCAATCAAATCACTATGGTCAAAATAAACAAATGTAGCTGAGTTAAATGAAGGTTAGATAATGAATGACATAAGTAGCATTGTTAAATAAAGTGTGTGATGTCACCTATCTATACATATTATAAACATCCTTACCCGTAATCTGAAGCAGTAAAAACATCGTTTGAATCCATCTGATTTCAGCCATCGTGATTCTCGGTCTCTCTTGCTCGCACTTTCTCAACTGTGAACGCCGGCTTGAGAAATACATCTTCTTCCTATTAGGTTTGAACTTCCTCATGAGGACACTCTTCTCTCCATATGAGGAGGTATTTTATATTTCTGATGGCGTATAACTAAAGCAATTTGTGCTCCGAGCTTAAAAAGTGAAATAAAACTACATTTCTGTACAGTATGTAAACAATACATTATTATTATTATTGTTAAGAGCTATGAGTACTGGATATTTTTTGTATAAGTTATTTTCATTTATTTCATTTTTAAACGTTATATTTATTGTTACAGTATGTTGTATTTCTGATAGTAATAATAATTATAAATATTAGCATAGTATTGTTAATAGCAATGAGTATTACGAAAACTTTATATTTCAAGTTATTTCTGTTTTATTCGGAAAGAAACTTGACAAGAATATAAACAAAAAAAGCAGAAACCCTGAAAGGTAACACTAGGTCACTGAGTTCAATAAATTGCCTGACATCAAGTCAACAAAGGAACATATCATATATATTATACACATTTTCTTATAGAGAGGCCAAGTCCCGCCCATCTACTTCCGACCCATGGGACCTTATTTCGGAAAAAGTATGTATTGAAGTCAATGGAGAGAAAACGTATCTTTCGATCCCGTCTGAATTGTGCCATGAATTACACATATGATGTTTGTCAATCTTAAAAAATCATTTCCATGTCAAAAAAGTCAAATTTTGTCGTAAAACTGTTGAAATTTAAGACTATGAAAAATATGCAACTAGAAAGACTACAAATCCCAGAGTCGCGTAAGTGATGTCATAACTGATGTCACAATTGTTTTCCTCNAAATATAAGACTATGAAAAATACTCAACTAGAAAGACTACAAATCCCAGGATCCCGGTCCCGCGTGCTGGCTCTTACAGAACCGACTAACTCCCCTTGTGTGTGTGTACAGCTCTCAACGTGCCCAGACATGGAGTGATTTTCACCTCTTTTAATACTTTTCACCTCATTCTGAAAGAAAGAAGTGAAATGTGCCAACGTGACGGCCGTCTTGGTGTGTGGTGCGGGATGGGAGATGTAGTTCATTGAGCGATTCACACAAAAAAAGTGTTACTTCACAGTTTTACGACACATTTAAAAAAAAATTAAATTGACAAACATTATATGTTTAATTTTTACGAAATAAGGTCCCATGGAGCTCCCCCGGAAAGGGAGGGACTTCGCATCTCTATAAGAAAACAACACATATCTGACTCCACATCTACTTTCTACACTCTGAAACAGCACCCCCTCCTGGGCAGTAAGGCTTCTTACAGCAATACATCCTGAAAATGTTCATACAAATAGATGTAACATACAAATAAAGTGATTATATGTTAATTTAATAACCCAAAAAAGCTACTTTCATATTTACACACTAACAATAACAACCATATCTGGCAAGAGCATTGGGATTATGCACATTTATACAAATAGATATTAAATATTCTGCAGGATTTTAACTGCGGAGACAATTTTGGGTTAGGGTTAAGGAATCAATGAATATCGGTAACACAGTGAGTGGAGTTCTAGTTAAAGGGCCTCACAGAATAACAAATACTTGGTTTTCAATGTGAAATCAATGTTTTGACATGAGCTGTAACTGTCGGCGCTTATTTAGTTGGTTTGTTGACGGTAGCGTAGAGGTCACTGGGATCAGCGGAGGCTCCAGCAGAAGAAGAAGAAGGAGCTTTCACCGTGCTGTAGGTCACTAAATCATCTTCTTCATCATCTCCCTTACTCTGACCCTGGGAAACAAAAGGGAACAGCAACACTTATCAATGGCACAACATGATGTGACACGGCATGATTCAACACATTGTAATCAAACAAGGTGAAAGAAGACAGTGCTAAGCAGAAACCTGACATTAAACAACAACAAATAAATAAATCACAATAAAACAAAAGCTACAAAACACAACATAATGAAAAAGGGTGATCCCCTGATTCTCCCAGTAGCGCCTTCAGGAGGTTGCCATTTGTGTTTTTTCACAATAGTTATTCAATGTATTTCCGAAATCCATGACATGTGCTCTCAGGATGAAAATGGGCCCTTTAGCTTTTTTAATCCAGAGCCATCTGCTGGTCAAAATATAGATTGCAATGCTGCCAATGCCCATCAGCAAGTCTGTGCTTTGTGTTTATTTGATTGTACCTTTATTTAACCAGGATAGGTCTCATTGAGATTACAAATCTCTTTTTCAAGAGAGTCCTGGCCCAAGAATGGTTACAGCACAGTGACAGACAATTTTAAAACACACAATCACAACACAGTCATACGCCAAGTTTATCCAAAGCATTTACAGACACAGCTTCCTGCTTCAAGGTCAGTTAGAGTAGCCTGTAGTTTAATGAGACCAGCTCTCTGTTTCAGCTCAGGTTGAAGCTGGTTCCATGCTTCAGGAGCAGCGTAACTAAACGTCCTCTTCCCCAGCTCAGTACAGACTTTTGGTTCAGTTAATGCTAGTTAGCAGATGTGAGCATGCTGAGATACTGATCTAAGATAGGGATCATGGCAGAGATTACCCCCGCTTAGTATTAGCTAGTTAACATAGTCATAAAGGGTTATGGAATGAGTCAGCATTTTAGCACTTCCTAGGTTTGCTTGGTCCTTTTTATGTGTGTGTGTGTGTGTGTGTGTGTGTGTGTGTGTGTGTGTGTGTGTGTGTGTGTGTGTGTGTGTGTGTGTGTGTGTGTGTGTGTATATATGTGTGTGTGTATATGTGTGTGTGTATATGTGTGTATGTGTGTGTGTGTGTGTCTGAGACTGACCGAAGGCACAG